AGGATGAGGTGGAATTCCCATGAGCCCATTGCCCAGGAAGCCCAAAGTCAGGTGCCAGACTGAAGATGAAGCTACTAGACAGAATTTCCAGATGGGCTGAGCATCTTTGTGACCTTCTGCAAAGCAGAGAGGAATGTGAGATTGCCAGCTTGTAATGTCTGGAAACACAGACATTAGCTGTCTTCTTCTCCCACTGGCTTGTCACTATCACACATCCTTGTTGTCTTCTCCTGTCCTGTGCCATGGGCTCATCCTGAGGCAAGTTGAGATGGCCCTGCTTCTTCTCCCTCTCACCATGTGAGGGAGGAAGACATGCATCCCATTGTGTTGAAGGTCAGTCAGAATTCCAGCAGCCCTCATATCAACCTAAAACACACTCCTTCTACCATGCAATGCTCTGTTTCTATCTTCAAACTCAATAAATGTTATGTTGCATTGTAATATCAATCTCTTTCTGTTCCTTCCTTGTTAAGATGCGTAATGACATTTACCAAAGAGAAATGGGATATCTTGGGTTATGAATCTTAGTTTTACTCACAGAACTTAATCTGTTTTAGTAGGACCCTTGACCAACGTCTCTGAATTAAAGGCATTTCACAAGTCATTGGCTGACCAGTGTGAACACAAGGAGGACAAATTCTCCTGGTTGCAGGCGTTGTGCCGTCTGGCCTGTTGCTGCACCTATGCTACGCCACCTGCGTCAGAGAGGGATAGGGGTGCTTTGCGTGTGGAGTGGCCTTTGCTACTTTGTCTCACTTCAGCAGATGTGATGATTGCTCTTGCCACAGGGAGTTCAGGGGAAAACAAGGTACAGAGCTCTACTTCATATATGCTCTAGCCCACCTTACATGAGGCACTTGTGCCTCCGTGTCCTGTTGGAGGCAGGGTGAATGGCAGCTCTCTATCTGTGTCATGGGCTGTGGGAAGCCCTGCGATGCCTTTCACCAAATGTGAAGCCACTGTGAGTAGAGAGTAGGAGGAAAATGTACATAAAATACGGTATCTGGAATGGAAGGCAACATGTGCACCACATGATCAAGGGCAGCAAGGTGCTGTAGGGCACCAGAAACACTTCAGGAAGATCAGAAAGAAACAACGACATATTTTTCAAAAATATGAATTAATAAAATTATCTAGAAATAGAAATTAACAAAAGCTTCCTTTGAGGACAAAGGAAATTCTCCCTTCCTTTTCTGTGGCAGATGAAGGTGGCATCCTGTGTCCCAGATGCATTGGAGATGTCTTCTACAGGCACATCAGTGTTCTGAGAGATGACAAAGGCCCATGAGCCCTCATGCTCACCTTGAGTTTCCAACTCAGACCCATTGATCCAGGACCTGTATTTCATCTCTGCCATCAGCCCTCAGCCTTGTCTCCAGCTCAGGCATATCAATCTGGTTCTGTTGTTCTTGGTAGGTAGGTTTATGCTTCACAATGGTCCCCTTGGACTGGATGCACAGTTGCCCGGTGCTTTCCCAGCTCCCTCTTGGGTGTATCTGTATTATTCTGGCACTGCTCAGGAGCGTTGGCCCATGTTGGCCCACTGTCAGAACATCGGAACCTGAGCTGTGCCCAGAGTCCCTGGCCTGGCATCAGTGCTGCCATAGCACTGCAAACCTGACTGTTGAGCTGGTCTTTGATGGACCTGTTGGGCATTTCTGCATCTGCCTTGCTCAGGCGTTGTGTAATGAGTTCCACTGGTGGTGTGTCTCCTGGTTTCCATTCTCTTCATCTTCCTAAGTGAGACATTTGGTTGTGTTTCCATGATGAGAGATTTACAAGTGGCTGGTGGAGTCCCAGCATAGTTGCAGAGGCATTTTGTGAGTCAGTGGGATGTGGCCTGGCTGGAGCCTGAGGTGTGTATGTTGGGTATTGCCTGTTGGGCAGACACTCCCTTAGGACACTTGTCACCTCAGGCCAACACTGCACAGAGCTTGGTGTCCACCTTTGTCACATGTGTTTGGAACAACCCTGACTCCTGCTTCTATCCCAGCTGCCCATGCTGGCACCCCCAGACCTCCATCGTTTCTGGGCAAGTGTGTTTACAGCCTGGACATGCTGTTGTCTGTTTGTTGGTGCGCACTGTTGAGTCAGGATGTAAGGGCAAAGTAGGATGCAAAGCATGGACATGGGTGTGGTGAGGAACCAGGCAATTTTTGTGTGTGATTGTGGCAGGCATGGAAGTTTATGGGGAGTGGTCAACTTATGTTTAGGTGTGAGAGTGCGATGTCCTTTTTTGTGAAACACCCCTTTCCTGATGTCAAGTCCTCTCTCAGCTGCTGACAGAGGAGAGAGGAATAAGTGAGTCTTAGCTCTCCTGAGAGCAGTGCTTGATGTTGTAGAATGGCCAGAACCAGAAAGCAGAGCATCCATCCTTGGACTGCTTCCAGCTGAGGCAGCCTGAGCACGTAGATGGGTGAAGCAAAGGCCGTGTTGGTCTTTGCAGATGAGCCCTGCAAGAAGCGTGACCTTTAATGCTGTGCTTGCAAGGAAATGAGGCCCCACACACTGGGGCAAAGCATCAAAGCAAGCTGCAGGGAAATGAGAGGCTGTCACCAGCTGACAGCGTTGGCCATCTCCCTCCCCTTACCTTCATCTTCTCTTCGTGCTTTTGAGTTCCTTCCTCAGAAATGCTTAGGCCTCTAATTCTATCACTTGAAAGGAGCTTGTGTAGCAAAATAGACTTGCATTAACTGGGAAATGAAAATGGAGAAGTAGCTTTGTAGGAGGAGGAATAAGGCATGAATTTCTATAATTGTGTTGTTTTGCATCCAAATGAGCTTGCCCTACTACAGCTGCATATGCATGGTTGCCTCTGGGCCAGGGGCGGTTCAGATTGGTATAAAAGCCAGTCCAGCACCAGGCCCCCTCATCCACTTCTCTTGCCTTCTCCTCCTTGGTGAACAAGGTGAGCTGCAGTGGCCTTCTTCTCACCCTCATCTTTCTCTGCTTCTCCTCTTGCTCTTCTGTTTTCCAATGTGCCTTTCCCTCTATGCAAGCCTTGGTGTGAGCCTTACTCTTTGACGGGGCTCCCACCAACTCTTTTCTGCATGCCAATGTCTGGGGAGGTGGGATAAGGCTTCAGGCTGACTCTGATTGGGCTCTTGGGTATCTAGGCTGCTAAGAGTCTATTTCTCCCAGCTCTACATGTCCCTGCCCCCCAGTCTTTGCCTCCTGCCTTGTGAGCAGACCATCAGTCTGCTGCTCACGCTGTTTTGCTGTCCCCTCTCCAGGTCCACCTCCATCCCACAGCCATGTCCTGCTTCGATCTGTGCCGTCCCTGTGGCCCGACCCCGCTGGCCAACAGCTGCAACGAGCCCTGTGTGCGCCAGTGCCAGGACTCCCGGGTGGTGATCCAGCCCTCTCCCGTTGTGGTCACCCTGCCCGGACCCATCCTCAGCTCCTTCCCCCAGAACACCGCTGTGGGCTCCAGCACCTCCGCTGCTGTTGGCAGCATCCTGAGTGAGGAGGGCGTGCCCATCTCCTCCGGTGGCTTTGGCCTCTCTGGCCTGGGCAGCCGCTTCTCTAGCAGGAGATGCCTGCCCTATTAAAGGCAACACCCATTTCCCATGAGCTTATCCCTGAGGAAGCCCAAAGTCAGGCACCGGACTGTGAACGGTGCTGCTGGCCGAAGTTTCCAGATGGGCTGAGCATCTTTGTGCCCTCCTGCAAAGCAGAGATGGAAGATAAATTACCATCCTGTTCTGATTGGAATAATGATGGATATTTCATTTTCAAAAATTTTCTTGTGGTACATTTTTTCGTGCATTTAAATTTTGGTTTCTGATTGGTTTTATTTAATGCTCTGCTTATAAATTATCAGTTTAGGGTTCTTAATTCATGTGTAGGAAGTCAATCTTGCTTTCTGTTCTTCATTTAGAATGGCTTAAATGGTTTCCTTCCTTCATGTAAACTTATATTTTGCTTTTTATTGTAGAGTACTTTATAACTTTTTCATTAAACTGATGTTGCATCTTAAGTTGTTTTATGTTTGTCTTTTTTTTTCAGTCCTTGTTCCTCTTTGTTTATGGTGAAATATACCATTACATGACAAAAATAATCTGCAGTAATCAAGCTGTAAATTCTCACCTGAGTAAGGGAATTGTCTGATTAGGAATAGTCATACTGAGTAGGATGTGTACTTGAATCTATGTCACCCTGTTGACAAAATTGATGTGATTGAAGGAATTAGGTATTCACTCAGATTTGTGAAGAATCACTGATCATATTGATATACATCCAGGAATGCTTTTGTTCTTGGTGGCGTGGAGGTGTCTTCTGTGATACACATGTAGCATTAAAAATATATAAATGTGCTTCAGAAGAATGAGAAGCCTGGGCAAGAGGCCTGTGTCCTACAGTGGCGTATCCTGAGTGGTCTGTTTTGTGGTGCTGTCTTGATGTGGAACTAAGGGACATGGTTTAGTGGGGAAATACTGGTGGGAGGTAGATGGTTGGGCTAGATGATCTTGGAGGTCTTTTCCAGTCTTCGTGATTTTATGATTGTATGATTCTGTGAATGAAGGAGCTTGGAGAAGCTCTTCGTCTTATTTCTTTAAGTCTGTTTATTAACACTGGTTGTTATTTTTAACACTGGTTGTTATATTTAAATAAATATATCCCCTGGAATGAATCCACCTTTGGATGCTATGGCCCTAAGGAGTGTTTATGCAAGAGGTTAAAGCCTTTATTAAACATTTCATTAGATAGCTCTTGAAGAATGTGAATGTCAGCTTGAAATCCACATCCCCTCTGCATGTTAAGATAGGAGAAATGGATGTTTTAAGTATGATTATGGAATTTTATAAACTTCTCAGCCTATTTGAGACTAGTGAGGCATCCTTAATTCCATGAACCAATTAGTTTTCATGTATGTTTTTTCAAATTGAGTCTTTTCTTGATAATGAAATTATTCTGCTTTTAGTTTTCCAGTCTAAGTTTGTCTTGGCGTTGCGTGAGAAACATACTCTACCCATTTAAAACCCTTTCATCTTCACAGTTTATGGGTTCTTTTTATTTCTGATACTTCCATTAGTGTCAGTATGAAATGAGTCAAAGCTCAGTCTAATGAAGCATTCTTTCCTGTTCCTCAGCAATTTGTTACCTTGCAGGTGTCTTGGAAGTACAATCTAAGATTGAATCCAAGACATTTATTAAAGCTCTTTGTGTGCGGTTCTCTGTCTGACCTAGTTAAGTACAATTGCCATCTAATTTGTTCACCATTCTTTAAAAAATACATATAATTCCAAGGCGGGTTCCAAGCCTCTTGGATGATTTCTTAGAGCCAACCAGACCAGTCTGGAGTCAGTTCACCACCAGAAGACAATTCTGGAGTCTTTTTGAAAATACTGCTGTGATCTTAGTGTTGGGTTTTGAAATGAGTTAGTATACCAAATTGAAGCTCTTGTATTAATAAAAGGAAGCAGAACAGAAGTGTTGAAAGCAACATCTATGGACGTCGTTGCATGCTTTATGGGAAAATTAATTATTCAGGTTGCCAATAAATACCTAGTGCTGCAGAGAACTTGTGTTTCAAAAGCATGGGTGCAACATATTTATTTATGAATTGGTATCATTACGTAGGTCTGGAAAGGGAGGGAACGACTTAAGTGTGTATGCGGGTCACTTTAGATAATGTTACTAAAATAGGAAAAACTGCTTAAAATTTGTAAAAAAGTTGATTTCTCTTCAATAGTTCAGAGATAGTTTTCATAGAGTCTACTAAATTACAAATTTCTACACTATATAAACCTAGATGACAAAAGATGATCTTGGATAGGAGGTTTTAAAGATATCCTATTAAATGGACCATGAGAGTGTTCAAACTTCATTGCACATCATGAGCAATTGATAACTTAATTACACGAATATGCACATTGTTAATGGAAATGGCAAAGGATTCTGAGCCCTTTCTTCTTTAGGTTCTTAAGTAACATAAGACCAAATGAATTCTATTTCTCAGGTATCACTGAGTTCTCATACACAATGTTCAGTAACTTCTCCAAGGAGAGGTTCAAACCTTGCATCTTGTGCAGTGGATAAAGGAGTAACTGTGCAGAATATCTCTACAGTACTAAAGCTAATAAATAAATGAATAAATATACAGATAAATAAATAAAGCAAACAACAACAACAAAAAAACTAAAATTGTAAATATGTATTCCAATTTTGCAATGAACTTGCACCAGTCTGGAGTATAACCACTGCTACAGTGAAGTCTGCTTCAAGGGGAATAAATGTGATGGCAAAAAGGTAATTTTTTTTTCCACAATGACTCCACAGTTAAACTCATGTGAGGGTAATACTAAAAAATTGTTTAAAATTCATGTGTGTTCTCAAGATGATTTGGGAAATGCTATTCATATCTGTGGTCTGAGATGATACGGAAGGGAGTTATAGATTCTCTTTGTGAAAGACCTGAGAAATCAGGTTCAGAACTGGTCTGCATACGTCTCCAGGTGATAGCAGTTGCACCTCAAACTGAGATACCAAGAGTGTGATAATATCTCAACTAGACGAGATGACTCCACATTTGTATCTAACTTGATGTGAAGATTGCTGCACATCTCCTTGACTTAGTAGGGTTTCATGTAATAATGATGGTGATTCTTCAGATGAAACACTATGCAGATATCAGATTGAAAATTAGAGGCAGTCAATAAATGTCCCTAAATAATAAGGCCAAGTCACAGCATTTTTTCATTAGATTGTGGTTGCTAGAGTTTTGCATGGACAAAGAAGTCAAAAAATGCAGACCTGTGTCTGCATCAGCTGTGCTCATACAAACTGGAAATAAAATCTGGGTCAGAAAGTGTTTTATTGTCTCTGGTCAGCAATTCTCACTGGTCTTAATTATCTTTACCTCTTGTAATACTTATGGAAATCTGGTGCTTCTCAACTGTACGTCTGTGTGGGATTGAAATAATGCAGAAATGCAAAATTTGGGAATATTTATGATGCATCTCGTTCTCTGGTCAGACTAAGCCCTTGACATGAAAATGCTCATGAACTGAACACAGGCTCCCACCTTAGAGCTTAACGATTATTCACCTAAAGGAGTGAAGTCCTGAATAAGAACTATGCATCTCATACACTTCCCTTAAGCAGTGTTTTGATGACTAAAGTGAAACATGAAATGTACATTGGCCCTAGGAAACAATATAATTATTGCTGAAATTGAAATGAATCACCACAGTCTTCCAAGGATGGGTGCACATTGGTGAAGATGAAAGCTTTGTCTGTACTGGAATGAGCATAATAAGGGGAGGGGAAAAATAGCGAAATACCAGAAGACATTTTGGGGGGGAAAAAAAAAGAAAAAGAATTAACCTATTTGGAGAATTTTGCATGCCAAAGTATGGATCATTAAATAATTTCATGGGTAGCATATGTCCTAGGACTGCAGGCAATCTGGAATGCAGTATAAAAACCTATAGAACACAAGGCTCTTCCATCCACATCTCTTGCCCTATTCGCCAGGTGAACAGGTAAGTCTGAATCCACCCAAAGTCTTTTTAAATGCTAAATGTTACTTTGATGACTGCTTTTTGTTGTTCTTAGTTCTTCATAAATATCGCTTGGTTCTTTTTTCTTTTTTTTTCCTTTTGGAGAGGAAAATTAGAAAGGTATATTTCTGTCAAATAGAAAAGTCTTATTTGTGAAGCAGGGTGTAACAAGGAAAGACTTGGATATTGGCAATACCCTCAGAACATGCATCTCCATGCTTCATTTTAGAGTCTGGTATAGCACTAAAGTACTAGTACTGAAGGACCTGGCTGGGAATATGTAGTCTTGTCTTAGATATTGGAACTAGCCAACAGATAAATCTGGTCTGACTTCCAGAATATATCTGAAATCCTCTTTTCCACAGGCAGGAGAGATGGGTTCTAGAAGCCTCACTGAAAATGAATTTGGGCAAAAAACTTGTTGAGAAAGCAATCCTTTTTTTCCTACTCTATGTTGGCCTGTTTTGTTCATTAAACTTTTGGGAGAAGAAGGTGGCAGGGGGGTTGGAGATTCATGATCCTTGAGGTCCCTTCCAACCCTGGCCATTCTGTGATTCTGTGAAGGTGCTTCTAAAACACTTTTCTACAGTTTTGCAAATGCTTCTGGTTGGGCTGTTAGAGAATAAATCTGTGCACTAAGGCACTAAACCAAGATAAGTGTCATGATAAGGCTCAGCATTTCCAGCCCTGCCTGCAGCTGCAGCTGTTGTCCTCCATCTCCCATGATACTTGCAGTGATTCCATCTAGAAGGCTGGGGAAGGGGAAACCCTCAAGGGTTCACTGTGTGGGTGCAGGGGGGGGACTTATATGATCAGCAGCAGAGTTCAGAGGCCAAAAGCTCTGGAAACTTTGAGAAGAATAAGGGAAGTCGCTATGTTATATTCAGACTGCACACTGTGGGTTTTGATCTAAGAAATAATTACCATTTAGCCACTTTGTCTCATTACTTCCATATCTGTTAACCCCATATCTGAGTTTTGTAAATTCAACAAAGAGCTTCTATTGCATGTGCTTTCCGGTCCTGTATTTCAGACGACTCTCCATC